TGTGGGATGCTCCATCCACCCCACCATTGCAGCGTTCACCAGCTGTGCCTGGGACCTCGAGGTACATAGAAAAAACATTTAAAGCTGTGTCTGGCTCAATCGCTGATTCTCTGAATCAGCATCGAATCTTCAGATTCAGCTGAATCGAATCGGAAACAGTGATCCAAATCAACAAATCGAATCACTGTTCCTGATTTGGGCCAAATCCAAATTGAATACAGCCCATTTTTCACACCCCTAGCCACCAGCTCCTAATGATTAAAATCTGCATCACAAAGACCTCAATTCAGTGAATGTCCCAGCTGTGAACAGAACTTAACCATTGAATAGGGATGGCTTTAAGGTTGTATTTAAGTGCTTTCCTGAATCTGGGCCTAAACTGCTGCCACAATTAGTTCCCTTTTGTTGGTTGACTGAGTAGGAAGCCCAAGGAGAATTGGAAAGGGGAAGATGGCATTGCCATTGCATGAACTGTGCCTGTTCTGTGATATCAGTCTGGACTGTTAAAATGGTTCTTTTCACCACATAAAAGAGGAACATTGGCTTGACCATATTTGCTGCAGGTACAACTTCTTAAATTTTCCTCTTACAAAGAAAGATGGGGAGTAGCAGAATATTGTCTGCTCTGGCTGGAGAAGTTTGCAAGTTAGTAAGAGAGAAAGAAGCCTGAATTGGCCTTAAAGTGACCTCATAATCTGTGGTTTACATTGACTGGGATTTTAGGGTAATTAGCAAAAAGGGACTGTGTAATCTAGAGAAGGCAGATGAAATGAGGAAAGTTTAACCAAACAAAAGAAGAGTTCACAGTGCTTTTCCTCAAATTCTTTCTCCCAGTCCCCAGGAACGGGTATGAATTTGCAATCTGCTAGCGACTCAATCTTGGTGATCTGAGCCATTTTACAGTACAAGTATAGCCTTTCCAGTTTCTGTTGGGCATTCCAGTCGCCACATACTTCATGGGTGTTTGTAGAATTCAAGCTCTACAGTCGAAGAATATGTTTTCTGTCTTGCACAGTGCTGTTGCCAGATTACTAGTACCACTCCCAAAGGTACATAGCAAGTGCATGTGTCACCACTAGGAAGAAGAATTGACTGTCCCTTCCAGAGTGGTCCTGTGTTTCCTATAACCCTTGTGTCATATAGGTCCTGAGCCTGTGAGGCACTTCAAAAACATATTTAAGTTACAATATGAATATTTTCATGTTTAAAGTAATAAGTCTATTTCTGTGCTTAAATTTGAGTGCATGCTTAATGCTTTGCTAGATTAGGGTCATAGTGGCCGGATAGAGCCTATAGTGACAGCACCATGAAAGTGGTAGTAGACAAAGCCTGGATTGTAACTGCATTTGCTACTTGATTATATGTAACTGTCTATCAGCAGCTGGTGTTCTTAGGGGTGCTCTTCGGGCATATCAGGCACACACTTTCCTGAATTGTTTGCTCTGATTCATGCAGCGCAACTAGGTCAGCAGGTGTCAGCAACTACCACATTAAAAATAAAAGGTGCTGAAGGGGGTTGGCTGTGCAGCTTCTGAGCAAGTTGTGCGCCTTTGGGGTTTTTGCAGTTTTATTTAGCCTTTTGTTCATTATTAAGAAGCTACAAAAATACTTGATAGTTAAGGTTTGCATTTCCCTTTGTGCAGGTGAAGATAAGAACTGCCATTTTGAATCAGTTCATTTTATCCAACCTAATACTGGGTAGGACCAGATGCATCAAAAGAAGAAACAAGAAAACCACCTAATTCTTGGAAATTGGCATAAACCCTTGAAGGATGGGGGTTTAATCACTCCTATAAAATGTTAAAAGACTTTTTCCAAAATTAACAGAGGGTGGGGACTAACTGCTTTATGGTTACTGTCCTTTTGCCTCCTACCCTGCAGCAAGTGAAAGCTAAACTGGGGCAGGTTTTCCCTGAATGAAACCAAGCTGAAAAAAGGTGACATTCTGTAGTCTTTCTATTCTTACTCAAAGCCTAGTGAGTGTTGCTTTGAGGTTGGAGTCTTGAAAGCAGTTTCAGAGCTGATGCTGTACAAGTTAGGTCTGGCAGTTGGCTTAGATGATGTATCTGGAAAATTCTTAGAAGTTACTTCATGTATACTTTTTAAATACTTGTAATGTTAAAGGAAACAGTGTTATAACACTTTTACACAGGCAGGTGACAGTAGTGGGAGATTTCTTTAAGAACATGCTAATCCTCAGATTCAGTTACCAAATAATACTTTAACCTTCTGAAGAACGAGCTTGTAACATGATTTGATAACAGGTTAAAACAGGGATTGATTCGAGCTACACACATGAGAATGATCCCTGATTGGACTTGCCTGGAAGGCCTGTTACCTGTTTACAATCAACAGGGGCATCTCCTCTTCTGAGTGCCATCACCTTTTCACCTTTCTTTTGCCTTTTTTTCTTGTCGTCCTTTCAATATCCCTCTCACTTTTTCTTCCATGTGTTAATAGCATAGTGACATACTTCCAGCATTGGCCATTAGATGCTGTTATCAATTAAATCTCTGTACTGCAGCTGGTATTAGTTATTACATACTCCAAGGTGATTTGAATGTTGTCTTCTCCATTTAGTGCTGCTTCTTCCACAAGCTAAGGAAATTTGTATTTTAGATCTGCTTTAAAATACTGGAAACAAAAGACCCGATAAAGATGGTTTAACAAGTGTCTTCCAAAATATATTCATTGCCCTCTACTGTCAGTTGTATGAAATGCACTGTCATAGTATTGTTCATTTTGATTAGGCAAATTGGGATTTCCAGAAACAGAATATTAATGCAGTTATTTGACAACAGTAAAGAGTATCCAAGTTGCCTGACACCAAGGGTTCTTATCTTGTATGTTAGAAATAAATTGATACTGAATACCTGTTCAAGTATAAACCCCACTTGATAACTGTGATGCTTTCACATGTCTGATGTGCTACCAAGTATGTATTTCCATACAAAGTATCAGGCACAAGACCTGGCACATATCATTTCAGCCATTTTCTTTTTGCTTTCAGGAATAAAAGGGATTTCCCAGCCCTCTGCTTTTATACCCACTGCTGAAAGCAATTCCTTTCAGCCTCAAGTGAAAACTTTGTCATCTCCTGTCGATGCCAAGCAGCAGCTACAGCGTAAGATCCAAAAGAAGCAACAGGAACAGAAACTTCAGTCTCCCTTGCCAGGAGAGTCTCCAGCTAAGAAAACAGAAGGCGCTACAACAAATGGAGTAGCTAGTATTTCTAATGGAAGCCCTGCCATCTTGTCTCCTCAGCCTATTGGTATCGTAGTGGCAGCTGTCCCCAGCCCCATACCGGTAACGTTCTCCAGTGTTCTCCAAACCTTTCAAGCCAGACAGTCTTAGAGAAAGTGTTGTTCACTGTTTACATTAGTCCTGAGAAATACCTAAGTGGTAGTGTAAATGGAATAGACATGTCACACATAGGGATACAAAGGCCCTTTTCTGTCTCAGTGGCTTTTTCTTTTATGTCAAGTAAGTGCCAGAGCCATAAATGTAATAATTTTGCATGATGGATGTGGAAGCAATAGAATGACACATAGCATGGGCTAAGCTTATCTTTGGCATAAGTCAGTGGCAGCAGAACTTAGGAATAATTTGGGTTATGTATTAGAAGAATTATATGTTTAGGGCAAAGTTTCCCAAGCTGCAGAAACCCACACAATGCATTGCTTAAACACTTAATATGTAGTGTAAATGCAGCTTTACTGATTTAGAGGGATCATCACTGGCATTAGTTTCAACCTTACTTGACAGAAGGAAGGCTGGCACCTTAAAAACTATGAAGTAGGTTGCTGCCTGTGAAAGGTCATGACTGAATCAGTAGTCTGTAAGGTGCCACCTTGCTCTACCTTTGGCCTGACTTCAGACTAACACAGCTAACTATCTCTCTGCTCTCATTTGAATATCTGTACAAAGGAGCAGAGGGTCATGATGGTAGAGGGGTTTTAAGGTGTCTTGTGATGGTTCAGAGGTGTCAGTCTGACCTTTACTTTGGACTTGTGTCAAAGGTTGTCCTCAGTTGACTCAACTGTAAATGGGTATATGGTCATTTGTACTGAGCAGTCACAGGCAGCCAGATATCATGCTACCTGCCACATCATTCCACTGTGTGTCTTCTGCTGAGTACCAGGCTAGCCCAATGCCGGTGGACCTTTGACTTTTTTTTTTTTTTTAACAATAGAACAGACTTGACTAGACTGCTTCAGCTGAGTAATACTGATTTCTTCTTTTTTTTGGCTCTTCTGCCCTGAATAATGTTTGGTTTGCATTGTATTTACTGCTGGAATTTTGAAAACTGATAATGTTTGAACACCTTCTCCACACTTTAGCTTCCTTTGTTCAAGGAAGGGAGTGCACAGATGTTGGTATGGACTGGGGCTTCAACTTTGATTGCCAAGACCCAAGGAATTAGCATGAGTTCTAGTAAGCTGAAAGCAGTGGTTTCCAAATACTCCTCAAAACACTTAAATACAGCACAGCTTGATTCTTCCGTTGTGATCTTTCATTGGTTTAAACGCTCATTTCTATTTTTTCATTTTTTCCCAGGCATTTGGGAATGAGGTGGGCTGTGGGATGGTGTGACATGGCTGCTCCTGTTTGTTATGTAAGTTGTGTGGAAGTTGACCAGTAGTATGGAAGAGCAGCTGTTTTGTGTGTTGAATATTTATGGTGAACACTGCTACTTTGGAAGGGTGCATAGGGCACAGGATGGTGCCAGTTTACACACGAATAACTAGCATCCTTTTAATCCTTAAGATGTAGATCTTTTTCTGCCATCCCTTAGGTTAACACAAGCCATTAGATTTCTTTAGGTGCCTACATTTTTGTTTAAACCACATTTTTGTTTTCTACACAAATAGGTACCGAGGACCAGACAACTGGTAACATCTCCCAGTCCCATGGCCGCATCTGATAGTAAGGTTCTTCCGCTCAACGTTCAGGTGGTCACTCAGCACATGCAATCAGTCAAACAGTCACCAAAGACTCCTCAGAATGTTCCAGCCAGTCCAGTTGGTGACCGTTCTGCACGGCCTCGTTACCCACAGATCCTACCTAAGCCAGCAAACACCAGTGCTCTCACCATCCGTTCCCCCACTACGGTGCTCTTCACCAGTAGCCCAATTAAGACTGTTGTGCCAGCTCCACACGTGAATTCCTTAAATGTGGTAAAAATGACAGCAATATCTCTTGCCCCTAGCAGCAGTAGTGTACCCGTCAAACAGGCAACTTCAGTGAATAGCAGTACAGGAGCAACAGAAGAGTCAAGGACTGTACCACAAATTAAAAATGGATCTGTCGTTTCACTTCAGTCTCCAGGATCTAAGACTGGCAGTGTTGCAGCAACATCTGCAGTTGAGATCAAAATGGAACCAGAAGCATTACTGGATGAGAACCAAACACAGTGCCAAGAGAATTCTGACATGTCTAAGCCTTTAAAGGGAGCCTCTGGCCTGCCTGCTGCTCAGAGGAGTAATTTTGAGGATTCAAACCTGAAAGCTTCACCAGAGGGCATCAGTGAAGTGAAAACAGTTAAGGGCTGTGATCAGGGAGCTGAAGAAGCAAGGACCAAATATAAAACCCAACCTAGCGAAATCACACCAGTTTCTTCAGCAGGCAATAATCAAAGCACTCTCACCCTCTCAGTTGCCAGTCAAAATTTCTCCAGCACCAGCATCAGTTCGCCTCCTAGTGGTGACTCTGCTATTAAAGACAAAGCATGCACTAAAAGTCCAAGGAAGCGACTGTCTTCCACACTTCAGGATTCCCAGGTGCCGCCTGCAAAGAAGCCACTGGTGGGGCAGCTTTCAGTTGGTAACAACATGGAAGTTCAAAAAGTGATCAGTGTTAAGAAGGTTCAGAAGGTTGCATCACTTGCTAAAAATGACAGTACTCCTGCACTTCCTCAAATTCCTGGCAAAGTAACTATAAAAGTAAATTCTGCAACATCAACGCACTTAGTGACAAACTGTCCATTAGGTTCTAATGTAAATACTGGTGATGCTGCTTTAGGACAGCAGCTCACAGCATCATCTCCAGATGTAAAAGTAAAATTGGAAGGGAACTTGTTTATCTTAGAAAATGATTCAAAATCTGATGGCAGCTTTAATCCAAATGCCTGGCAGCATATCACTAAAACCTCGGACTTCACATCTGTGAACTGTGAACAGCAGCAGGATATCAGTGTTATGACTATTGCAGGACACTCTGGCTCTAGTGATTTACAGGAATCTGTGTGGGAACCAGTGCACTGTGAAGGCATACAGCAGGAAGCATACAGCCAACAGTTACAGAGTCAGATCCAGGAATCTCCTTTGGATCAAATTCAAGGACAGTCTTCAAATCAGTTACCTTTGCAGTCTGAGCTAAAAGACTTTGAACACACAGTCCCCCAGTCAAATGAGAACTTCTTTTCATTTGATGATGACCTCACACAGGACAGCATTGTAGAGGAACTGGTGCTCATGGAGGAGCAAATGTCTATGAATTCACATCCTTATGGGGGTTGTCTAGCAATGGCACTTCAGAGCCAGGCAGCAGCTCCAGGAGCTCCAGTGTCATCTCATCCAAGCAGTGCTCACTTCTACCATTCAGTCCATAACAGTGGCACTCCAATTCACACTCCCACTCCCACTCCTACTCCCACTCCAACCCCCACCCCGACTCCAACCCCCACATCAGAAATGATGGCGGGGTCTCAGAATGTGTCACGAGAGAGTCCATGTTCAAGACTGGCTCAAACTACTCCTGTAGACAGTGCTCTAGGAAGCAGCCGGCACACACCCATTGGAACGCCTCATTCTAACTGCAGCAGCAGTGTCCCTCCTAGTCCTGTGGAATGCAGAAATCCATTTGCATTTACTCCAATAAGCTCTAGCATGGCATACCATGATGCCAGCATTGTCTCCAGTAGTCCTGTGAAACCAATGCAGCGACCTATGGCTACCCACCCTGATAAAACCAAACTTGAGTGGATGAACAATGGGTACAGTGGAGTTGGTAATTCATCCGTTTCAAGCCATGGCATCCTTCCAAGCTATCAGGAGTTAGTGGAAGATCGTTTCAGGAAACCTCATGCTTTTGCAGTTCCTGGCCAATCATATCAGTCTCAGTCCCGGCTCCATGATACTCACTTTGGCCGTGTGACTCCTGTTTCACCTGTGCAGCATCAGGGAGTCTCTGTAAACAGCACCACCAAACAAGAAGGCTTTGCTGTTCCTGCCCCACTGGACAACAAGGGGACAAATTCCTCTCTTGGAAATAGTTTCAGATGCCGGAGTGTGAGCCCTGCTGTCCATCGCCAACGTAATCTTAGCGGAAGCACTGTCTATCCTGTTTCTAACTTACCACGCTCTAACCTGACCTCTTTTGGAAGTCCAGTGACACCAGAAGTTCACAATGTGTTCACAAATATCCATGCAGACACCAGTGCCAATAATATAGCTCAGAGAAGCCAGTCTGTTCCGTTGACTGTCATGATGCAGACAGCCTTTCCGTCTCTTCAGAAACAACCAAACACTAAAAAAATAACTAACGTGTTGTTAAACAAACTTGACTCTGATAGCGATGATGCAGTGAGAGGTTTGGGAATGAACAACATGCCCTCAAATTATACAGCGAGGATGAATCTCACTCAAATTTTAGAAACGAACACTTTTTCTAGTGCCAACTCACAAAATATGATCAATTCCAGCACTTCAGTTTATGAATTCCAAACACCAACTTACCTCACAAAAAACAGCAGCACCGATCAGATCAGTTTTTCTTCTGGAGACAACCAAGCACAATCAGAAATTGGAGAGCAGCAATTAGATTTCAGCAGCACTGTAAAAGACCTTTTAGAGGAGGACAACCTGCAAACCAACCAGCAGCTGGTGAATCAGGTGGCATCTGATCTCAATAATGTTGCATCTGTCTTTTCCAACGACATCAGGTTGTCTTCCGACCTCTCAGGCAGCATTAATGATCTGAACACTTTAGACACAAATCTACTGTTTGATCCAGGTCGTCAGCAGGGACAAGACGATGATGCTACACTGGAGGAGTTAAAGAATGACCCATTGTTTCAACAAATCTGTAATGAATCCATTAACTCAATGACTACATCAGGTTTTGAGTGGATGGAGAGTAAAGATCATTCTGCCGTTGAAATGTTGGGTTAATTTTGTTTTATAATATGTATGTAGCACACTGTATGTAAAAGACAGATGTATTGTATTTGTCTTAATGGAAGTGCCTCCCGCAGCAGAAACACTTGCTATGTATTGTGGCATTTTTTAAAAGTTTGCTGTACCAGTCGCTCATTTTTCAGCAGGGAATAGGCAAGTCTTATCAATTTTAAATAAATTTCTGAAGATAATGGGCTATTGAAGAGCCAGTATTACAATTTAAATTTTATAGCATTCCCACTTAATAGCATTTCTTATTCTACCAAAATAAAGTGGCTGAGAACCAGCATTGATAACTGGAGTAGAGATGTTGAGAGGGTTTTGAAGAGAGGGTTTTAAATCTAGCTTGTTACTAGGCATTCAGTACTTTGTATTGCCTTCTACTTTTAAGTAGATACTTGTCAGTCTTTGTTATCCAAGTCTGAAATGTATTGTGCCTTCAGACAAGTAGGTGTTGATTAAGCAGGTGGGGGGTTCATCATGATGAGTGGCATGTAAGCGGTGATGTATCACTGTACAGCACCTCTGGATGCTGCTCAGTAGTGAACCATGAGAGACCTCTGTGGCACCACCAGAAAGAACTATTTGCACCATGGGTGGGCAATTATTTGGGCTGGAGGGCCCCTTAGGGAGTTTTGGTGAGCTGTTGGTTGCGGGGGATAACTGATCCAATGCAACCTGCCGCACCCACTGCCAGGGCTGGACAAAGCGGGTAGGTGTGGTCTCCATGGAGACCAACCTGGAACGTGCACGGACAGGGTGTGATCAGCCAGACAGATGGGATGGGGACATAGGCAGGTAGGGAGCGGTGTCTGGGAGTGAGACAGCAGGGGCTGGGGCCGGGATTGCAGGTGGTGACAGCGTGGGGCCGGGGCCGGGGCCGGGGCCCGGGACAGAGCCGCAATCTGCTTCCTGCATGCCCCTGCTCATGGAAACAGCACCTGTTGCAGGGATGGATGGGGAGCAGATCATGGCTCTGCCCCAGGCCCTGGCCTATGCTGTTACTGCCTCGTGATCCCAGCCCCACCCACCTACCCTGCTCCCAGACACTGCTTCCTGCCCCTGGACCTATCCTGTTCACCTAGCCACGTGCACCCTGCCTGTGCAGGTTCTGAGCCATTCTCCTTAGAGACCCCACTTCATACAGTGCCCCTGACAGTGGGGGCAGGCTGGACGGGCTGTGGTGCCCAGGCAGTGGCAGCAACACTAACAGCAGCTGGAAGGAATGACTTTGGGGCTGCTGGGAAGCTGAGTCCAGCTGTGGTGCCACCCCAACCCCGCTGCATGCCTGGGGTTGGCGGGACCAGCCGCAGGCAGTATGGCCTGGGCTGCCCTCTGCACCTGGGCCAGGTAAAACCCCTTGATGGGCTAGATCTGGCCTCGGGCTGTATTTTGCCAATCCCTGGTTTACACCTGTATGAAAGAGCTGATAGGAAAAACTATCATGAAATGATCAAGGAAAGAGAAAAATGCACTAAAATTTTATTTAAAAGAAAACAAAATCTATTTAGGGTTTTTAGACATAAATATTCATGACCTCACAATAATTTAGTTTTTACTTTAAATGTTAGTTTTTGATACCAGGTAAAAAAAAAATGCATGAAAAATGATTCTGAGCACTGAGGCTTAATAACCCCAGAGATACCATGCATTATAAAATGTTAGTTACTGTTTTATTATTTATCAGTTAGAGAAAGGGACATTATACTTGGCGTCCTTTTAATTAAGAATGGCTGCATGAAATCATAAAAATACTACTGTTTTTTAAGATTTGTTTTTAAACCCCTTCTGTTCTGACCTGCTGGGGGTCTTTCTGTGTCTCCTGAAAACAAAGATGATAAAAATATTACCTAATTTGGTGGAGAATGGTTAGAAATACTTTGTGTAGAGCCATAACATTCCTAGGCACTTTACAAACACAAAAGACCTGGAATAAAATTTTTTAGAGTATTTAAGTAATTTAGGAGCCTAAGGGCATGGACAAATTATCAAATGGCACAAGTTAAAAGGGAGTGGAGACTTACCATCATACACTCTTACACATTTTAACTCACCTTTAATTTGATAATTCATCCATACCTTAAGTTTCATATTCAAAGTGATTTAGGTGCTACCCAGACAGTCTCATTGCAAGTCAATATTGTACTTTCCAAGTCTCTTGAAAATGGGATTTATACTCAAGTCACTAAACCACTTTTGAAAATGTTATTCCTAGTCTTTAAAAAGAATAACGTGAGGGTTATAAACTTCTCTAATGGTGAACAGAGAAGGGTACTTAACCATCCATGGCTCTGATGCAACAAAGGAGATCTGTACAGTCAAACTGTTGGCCAAGAAGAAGCCTGCTTGGGCTTCCAGGCAAGCAAATCCCTTTGTTGCTTTGTCTCCTAACCATTGTATAGGGTTTGTGCTATCCAATGTAAATTGACATAATTTAATCTTAAAACAGAGTAGGGAGCATTTCTCTGACTTGCATTAGGTGACTGAGAAGTAGGGGTGTGTGAAATGGGCCGTATTCAATTTGGATTCGGCCTGAATCGGGGACAGCAATTCAGTTCATTGATCCAGATCACAGTCCCAATTCAGTTCAGCTGAATTTGAATCTGAAGATTTGATGCTGACTTGGAGAGTCAGCAATTCGGCCATAGACACAGCTTTAAATGTTTTTTTCTACATACCTTGAGGTACCAGGCGCAGCTCATGAATGCTGTGATGGTGGGGCAGATGGAGTGTCCCACAGGAGTGCAAGGGGGCTCCCTGCATGCTCAGCGGCAAACCCAGAAGTGGACTGGAAGTACTGGGTGCCCCCCCCCCAGACCCAGGAGGCACTATTAGCTGAGCTGAAGAGACACAGGGGTCCCCCAGTGCACTCCCCAGCAGGCCCAGAAGTGAACTGGAAGTGCTTCTGATCCATTTCTCAGTCTGCTGCCAAGTCTGCTGGGAACCCCCCTGTGCTCCTGTGGGACACTCCATGCGCCCCACCATCTCAGTGTTCACAAACCACCTGGTACCTTGAGGTCTGTAGAACAAACATTTAAAGCTGTGCCTATGTCCAAATCATCAAATCTTTCCAAATCTCTCTGTATCAGTTTAGAGGGTTCTGAATAGATTCAGAGAAGTAAAAGGGTCTCCTGACTCAATTCGGAGATTCGGCAACCAAATCAGGCCAAATCTCTGCCGAATTGAATCAGCGACTGAAGCTTTGCACAGCCCTGTTGAGAAGTTGTCAGCTTGTGTAGAAGAGAACAGAATGTTGCCGTCTAATTTAGCAAGTCAGGAAATGATCACATTTTCAGCTATTGTTGTTTTTTGTTTGTTTGTTTTTAATGTCTCTTGGTAACTTGTTCCATTCCTGAGAGTAAGCTGAGATTTTTCAGTATTTGGTTAATGTTTTTAGTGAAATTCATTGTCCTGGTACTGCTGTATGAGCACTCCAGATGTTAGTACCTCAGTGTTTCTCCCACTCCCTGCAATACAGCACTGAGCAAAGGCTGTTCCATGCCCCTACATGTGAGCTCTTCTGCAGGGACAAGCAGTAGTGCCAAGCTGCGGCACCTTATATGGGGTCTGATTCCACTGCATGTAAATCCATGAAAGGTTTGCCATTTCAGTGGTAACGGACCTACAGAGAGAGTTCAAGCTCCTCCTAAGAGAAACTGTTTCAGGTTCTGTTTAGGAGACAGAAGGTATTAGATGGGATGGGTTTTGTGCTGGTTATTCCTATTTTCTAAGACCCCACAAATTCAGATCAAAGCCATTTCACTTTCTGAAGAAGGCTGACTAGGCTGAGGCTCAAGTTTTCTCTGCCCATGGCCTAGAGCCAGAGTGCTGCTGACATCCTCCTGCTTCCTTGATTTCTTTAGGAGTTGTAGATCTTCAGCATCTCTCAGATCTGAGCCTATATGAAATGCCAGCACCACCATGGATATGCTAACCCTGTTCTTCCAGCAGATTTAAAAGGGAAGAATAGTGGGAACAGATGTATGCACCAGCATTATGGGGGAACACCTTCCTCGGGGTTATGGAGTTCATTGTGTGTGCACAGCATGCTTTCCTTCCCTCCACCACGCTGAGGGACAGACTCTTACTGGGGTCCAGTGAAAACTAGTCCCCTTCTAATTGTTCTGTGTTAAAAACATTTCTCGGTAAAGCTAAAGTAAATATAAAAACTGATGCTTTCTAAATTATGCAGTTGTCACCAAAGGTTTTTAAACTGTGTTAAAACCATTTTTAAATAGAAACATTGTATTGGGCTTAATAGAAAGTATTCTTTTAAGTTAATTAGCAGGCTAGTAGGAATACTATATAATCAGTGGATTTAAAGCAAATGTGTGTTTAATTTAAGAAGTTTTTAATCCAATAAGGATTTATTGTTTAAAGTACAAGGCATGGGGGTAAAACATTTTCACTTCAATAAACGGTGCTAGGGCTAGCTCACAGCTGTGTACATTGGTATGTACTAGTTCATAGACATTTGTGTGTTTGCTGTTTAAGATGAATAATCTCTTAGATCCCTATTCCATAATGCTAGTTATTTCCTTACTGTACATTGAGACAGAGCACTACTGCACACCAAAGGATGCAATACCAAAAGGAGAACTCTGTGTTTCTTGCTATTGGAAGCCTGTCTGTCAGATACTCCAAAAAACAAGAGTTTGAGACAGTTCTGACCCCTTGTTTACATTACTGGCTTCCTATTAACAAGAGAAAAAATATTTTGACAGCATTTTTTGCTAAAGACTAGTGAATTTGTACCCTGTGTACAGTATTGCAGCAAACACTTTAAATTTGGTTGGTTAGTCCAGCAAACTTTCTGGGGTTCATATATTGCACTAAATTTCTGTTGAACCTGTGGCAGGCACATTCCTTAGGATAAATGCAACCAATACAGCCCACAGATAAGAACTTTTTAATGTGTTTCATTATTAAAAGGCAAAATGTCATCAAAAGTGACAGATTAAATTGTCTTATGTAGCAATGTGCATTGATCTCAATGAGATATTTCTATTTCTTATTCTCTTACATGAGAATATTACAGCAGGAAGAAATTAAGTTTAGTTTGCTTCACCATGTTAATACATGATCACAAGACGTGCATGAGTGTTATTGACTTATCTTGTACAGTACTAGGTATATTCCTGTAACCACTTTTATTTTTTTTATTCTTTTGCTGTATTGATACTGGTTCTGTGTTAACCAGGCAAGCGTAGTTATTCACAAGTTATTTACTTTTATATGTTTACTAATTCAGCTTAGTTATTGTTGAATATGTTCCTTTCTTGGATTATGTTTTATTGTTCTGGTGTTGAAAGACATTTTTTGCATCATTTTATCATGATAAGAATTCATGAAGTAAAGAATTTGCAAATAATTGCAATAAGCACTGACTTCTGAACTGAAAAGAAGGAATGCGTTTCTTGTGCAGTGCATCTGGGGTTCATATAAGAGTCTTGTACTATACCGTGCTTTCTTTACTGCACCATAAGGAAAGAAAAATCCCTGTTCCATGTTTTCATTTAGTGCAGGAAGTCCAGTTTTCCCTCAGTGTTCTGTTGTCTGTTGTACTGCTGAAACTACGGTAGTTGAATATTGCAGTAGCATTTCAGTTATTTTTTTTTATTGAAAGTGCTCAAAAATTGTTTTTTAAATGTTTTCAAAAACAATAAAAACATTTTATATTAAACTGGCTTGTGGAATGTTTTCTTACAGCGTATTATTTTTATACCTTAACAGTAGCAAAATATGAAACTACCAAATATGGTTTTATGCCATTATAGAAAATGGTTGTGCTTTCATCTGCAATAAATGTTCAGTTCTGGTCACTTCATCTCAGGAAGGAGATAACAAAAATGATAGAAGCTTGAGAAAAACGGATAGAAGTCAGGAACTGATTAATAAAAAGGAACATTGCAAGTGAGGTTGAGAAGGCAGATCAAGATCCCCTGCTCAGCCTTCCTTACAACACAAAGAGACTTCCAATTAAATTTAAGGTGTCAAATTGAAAACGAATAAAGGTGTAATGCTTTTTCACACAAGCAGCAGTTCAAATAAAATTGATTGTTTCTAGACATGGACACCAAGAGCTTAGCAGGCTTCAAAAAGGAATTTGATTCTTATATGAATATCCAAAATATACATTAAAGAAAAACTTGCAAATGCTGGTGTGCCCACAAATAGCTAAACTGTGGGAGATAAAAATTTTAACCCAGACAAACTTCTACATCTAGGCCTTGTTAAGCCAAATTCCTCCTAGGTGTTACCACAGTGGGTCAGACGCCTATTGGTCCAGCTTGCATCATTTTCTGTCTCTAACAGTGGCCAACATCAGCCCAGTGTGGATTAAACTCCTGGAGACAGTGTTCTCCTAAATTACATTGTATGTTAGTAATTAAAAGGTAAGCCCGTGCCTCAAAGCTTGAAAGACTGACTGGACTCATTGGAGTATGATTTTGTATTGGGTCTGCTCTCGCCCACACCCTACCACTCTGGTTTTCTCTAAATACTGATCACCCAAGTTGAATCTGGCAGTAGAGCCATACTCAGCTACACCTGCTAGAGGGCTCAAATGGGCATTTATTTGCAACTCTGCGTGCTCCCAGTATCTATAAAGAAGATGAAATTGCCCTTGGAAATACTCCAGATTTTCTGTTGTTCAAAGTCTAATAAGTTGTAAAATTATTTGAAATCTTGTGGGGAGGCAAAGAAAACTAGCTTTGATCTGGGCAGTACACGTTAAAATATGGAATCATTGTTTTGGAATGGTGGTTAAAGGAAGTGAGATGAAACTTGCAACATCTTTTAAGTTTCATATAAATGTTTCAATACTTCTGTAGTGTTGTTTGTGGTCAAGATGGTTTTATTACTTTCTTGAGTTTGTTTTTCCTCTTCAGCTTGCTAGAGATCAATTTTTGCATAATATATATGTTTTGTCAACTGATGTCAGACAAAAATGAGGATTTCTACAGACAAAAACCCCTAAGTGCTAAAGAAACTACAGTCTCAGTTCTGGAATTCCCAAGATTTCTACGACTGATGAGAAAAATGGCTTCATATATAACACTATGCCAACAAGCAACTAGAACTTCAGCATTTTGTTACAGTGTTTAGTGAAGCAGAAGGATGAACTTGTTTATTGAATTATGTTACTGAGAAAATGTATTATTGTATTTAAAATACACTGATAGAAAA